AACGGCTTGGCGGTGGCTTGCACATGGAGCACCAAACCCTAAGCCATGAACTGCACCACAACCCCACTGCCCAAACCGAAATCGCCCATGAAGGGTTTGTAGCAACCCTTACAAGGAACCCTTTAAAGTTGCAGAGCGGTCCGCGGGTCAGAGCACAGGAGGATTCGCCAAAGCTCCTGGCACTGATGGCCATGGTCCGTGAAGGCAGGCTTTAGAGATGTATAAGGTTCAGTTCCCTAAGCTCAAGCCCGCCACAAGATGACGAAGACTGAATGCCCCAAGTGACTAATATAGCGGTCGGAGCAATAGTAATGATATGTCCTTACAACTGCCCCTATAGGATATACTAGAGTGGAATCAGGAACGGTGGAACACAGATGCAGCATGGTTATGCAGCTGGGACTGCGTATATTTCCTTTCAAGGCCACCAAGATCATGATGTAATAGGTAGGTCTGAACAATTCGACATAGTATGCCCTACATAGCCCGCAATAGTTGTACCACAAGGTATCCCCAACCACTGGTGCATTCATTAAGGCCCCTATAGCACCAACTTTCGAGCATGTACTTCTGCTATAGGGACCTGAATGTTGACAAGATCTCACTCGGAGTTGCATTCGGAAAAAGATGGAAAAGGGTCCTCAAAAAACAGAAATCCTAAAGCTCCGAAGTCTCTCGAACCCGGAACTTCCGTACCGCGTCAGCCCTACACCCCAAGCCCGAAACCCTGACCCTTCAACCTAAGCCCTAAGCCTTAAATGCCCTAAGCCTAAACCCTAAACCCTAAACCCCAAAGCCCAAACCTCATCGTCCACGAGGCCGGCTCAGCAAAGAGGCCGAGGCAATCTTCGAGGCACGGTTGGCTCATCGTCCCGAGATGGGAGTTTCCGAAAATTAGGGGTACCTTCGTTTGGGGTCCTTATAATGGAGATCCTACTATTTAGGTACTATATTAGGGTCCCCTATTTTCGGAAACTCCCATATCATTGCATGTTGTAGACTGCGGCGAAAACCATTACGGACCCGATGTCAGGATTCTAGAGGCTGGCTGTTTGTTCCATAGGTGTTCACGTGGTTGTATAATTTACGTGCGCTCGTTCAGTACTTGCCGGGGCAAAGCTTAGCATAAACTCACGGCCACGTGCATGCCTGCTGTCAGCGTGATGACGATGTGGCGTTTCGCTTTGCACCCCTGTTGGCCCTGAATGCCGGTACCCTGAAAACCACAACTCTAAGCTATCAACTTGTGGCTGAAACATACTCAAGTCTAAAGCCGTGAAGCTTGAGTTGTAGATTAAACGGGATCCACTAGGTCGCGGGATGCAGGGGTAGGGCTTGCGGTTTGGGAAGTCCTGCCGCGTACCCAGAAAACGGGACAAGCGGTACATCCAAAGCGAGGTAGTTCCAATGTAGGAACCCCACCTTGGTTTTTGACCACAACACCTCTCAATGCAGGGGCCTTGGCAATGAGAATAGGGTGTTGAGGGTTCCTTATTATAGTTATTGCATAAGATACCCCCCCCCCCCAAACCGTATTCTAATTATCAAGGCCCCTCCATTATGCAGAAAACGAAAGCTCCGTGAAAGGCGCACGCGAGGAAGCAGAAAGACGGCCAGGCTCTAGCGGCCCGGATGCGAGATCAGGGTTTAGGCTGAGGGGTTCAGGTGCTTGGGCTGACGGAACAAAATTGCTGTTCAGGTGTTTTCGGGGTTTTGCACGGGGGAGGTTCACAGCTACGAGAAGTGCTTTGCTCTCCGCTGTTGCTACTGTTCTAGTTTTGGTACTGCAGCTGCTGTTGTGTTGTTGTGGTCGTTGCCGGTACTGTTCCTCTCCTCCTGCTGCCACTGCTATTGCTCGTACAGTGGTATTCGTGTAAATGTTCATAGCATGGTGTCGAGTGTTGTGGTCTTGTCTGTTTCAACAAGCTTGTCTTTGTGACATGGCTCTGATGATGACGATGACCATTCAGTTGGTGATAATGTTGACGATGATGACGGCGGAGATGAAGTCTGGCTACAGCCTGTTAGTCCTTACTGTGATGAGTGTCCGTTCCTCCTATATCCATTGCAATTCGATTCGTGGTATCTACAGAAGATTTATTTGTAATGCTATGACCTATGCCCTAGGTTCCGCACTATAAAATACTAAAATAGCCACCCCAACTACGAAGGCCTCTACGTCATAGAACCGCTGCAGTAACCCTTAAAGAACCCTTTAAAGGAACCCTACTCTAACTGCCACGGCCCCTTTTTTGAAAAGAGCCCTTTAAAGGAATGCTTTTGAAGGGGCTTCCGGTATGTGGGGCTCCGCTTACAGCTGAGGTGGCAGTAGAGGACCCCGGAGATGCTTGAGGGCTTTATGCGTTTGGGGTTTAGGGGTTTAGGGGTTTAGGGGTTAGGGGTTCAGGAGTTTAGGGTTTAGGGGCAAGTCTAGAAGCTTGTATAATCGGTTTAGGGTTTTGGGGTTTGGGGTGATTTCCTTCAAAGGGCTCCTTGAAGGGTTTACTTGTGGGGTTCTACTATAAAGCCTTAATTTGTCTGCAACGCTACCGCTTAGGGTTGGTTCTAGTTACAGTAGACTATCCTCCTGACCCGATGATGGTCCTTATTTGAGGGAGCTGGAAGGGTAGGGCTTTAGGGCTGTGAGTTTGCGGTTTCGAATCTGAGGGTAAGGCCTTTCTGAGGCCCTTTCAGTTAAATCAAAACTAACAGCCTACATTGGGGCAGCCTCTCCCTACCCTTTCATCCCCCAAACCCATCAAACCCGAACAACTCAGCCCCAAACCTTGAACCCTAAGCCCTGAATCCTAAACTGGTCCTCAACCTAAACCCTTTCAGCACCGGACCTTGAGACCTTCATCTTCCTTCAATGTCAAAGCCGCCGAAGGATCTGCCGAAGCTGGCCGCGGCGCTACCCTCCTTGGGCGTTCGCACAGCGCCCAAGTCGGCGATGACTCGCCGGGAGTTTCAGGCCCCCGGCTGGATTTCATATGGGAGTTTCCGAAAAAAGGGGTCCCTAATATAGTACCCTAAATAGTACGATCCTTATTATAAGGACCCTAAAATAAGGTACCCGAATTTTCGGAAACTCCCATATAGGAGTCTGAGTTAGCAACAGCAGCAAGAATAACGGCAATAACTCCTCGTCTATGCTAGGACTTCGTCGTTTTTTTTCTTGGTTTGTGTGTTTTTTTATATAGTTTTGAGTTTAGCGGTTTGGGAGATTTTGCTATTTTCAAGTGGCGGTGGTAGGGTTGCGGGGTCAAGGCAGAGAGTTTGGAGTTCGGGAATTATGTCGGTTTCAGGGTTTGGGTTTTGGGATTTTGGCTTTAGGGGTTTAGGATTTATGTTCAAGTCTCCGGCGTTTGAGGTGTTCAGAGCTTCGGGTTTGGCAGCCTTGATCTGTAATCCAAGCTACCACACGGTGTAGGTTATTTATGTATATGTATATGACTCCGTTTGTGTGTACGTGTATATACATATATATATATATATACACATAATACCTATATGTATATACATACGTATATGTAGACCGCCCTATGTAGCATCTTCTGGGGACTTCACAGAAGTCAGAGGGTAAGGTCAGGGCAACTGGCGGTAATCTTCGAAACCTACAACATGGGAGCAGGAGTTTCTTTTCCACTACGCCGTGAGCCAGCAGAGTGGCGCGAAGACACAGCCCGCCAAGACCGTTCCTGTGGCAGCATGCAAGGGGGCCCCAATTGATTCCCAATGGAATTCAATAGTATCCCCCAGGAAGGTACACTTCCGTTTTCCCCTCCGCAGTAGGACACCCTCCCTCCTCCCGAACCAGAACGAAAGGATCCCTAATTTTCAGGGTTAATGACTTTTCTGGATCCTTTCTTGGTACAGGTGCCTTGACAGAGTTTTCAGGCTTTTGACGGCTTTTGTTGTCAGGGGTGTTTATGTTTCTGTAGGCTGTATGCAGGGGGGGGCCGGCGCTCGATTTGGCATCTCGGATAGATGATCCGACATCTCGCTGCTGCCAGGACAAAGGTTAAAACCCTAAACTCTACGCCCTGAGGCCCAAATTTTGGATCCAAAGACCGCAAAACAGTTGTTAGCATCGTTTCGGAGTTTGCTTCTCCAGTGCAAATGTGAGAGAGCGTCATTGAGTTTCGCTTGCCGGTCTGCAGCCGTCTTGGTTGAGCGGTTCGGAGGCGGCTTCTTCATGTCTTGAAGCCTGTAAGCGTCCGGAAGCATTGCTAGGTTTGGTTCTGGGTTTGGGCTTTGGGGTTTCTGGCTTGAATTAGTTCGTCAGGTGCTTCCAATGTCAGCGGCTTGAGTTCTAGCCTGCTCCTGTCTGGTCTTGGATCTGGCAGCCCTGCGTCAGCTTAAGCCTAGCGCCTAGTGTGCCGCAAACAGCCGCAAACACTACGTCCGAACTACCTTTCACCTAAACCAGCAAGCTCCAATCCTCAAGCCTACATGTTAAATCCCTCAACCCCTAGACCCCCAAAGCTCAACTTTAAACCCTAAGCTTTTTCGCCGAGGTGGGTGGGCGGTACCGATCCTTGGATGATTTCCACGTCATGACGATCCGTGGCAGCCGGATTAATTAGAGTGGCCATCGTCTCACAACCCTCACCCCTGGCCTTAAATTCACTATAAAGGTTGGGATAACTAGCACTAGTGTTCCCGGTGCTTTTTATTCGATTTGCTCGTATAGCATAGTTTCTCATCACTAAGACCCTTGAGCACGCAGTTGGTTTTTGTTTGGAGGGGCATTCGTGCTGAGGGTTTCGAGGCCATTAGTCTTAGAAAATCAGGAGCACTTGGAGGCCCAGAGGGCTGAGTAAGTATAGGTCATAAGTAGGGCTTCTTTCGGGTCTCTCGATTTAGGGGTACTTATAGCCCTACGTAGAGCCTACTTACTAAGTCACCTAGAGGTCCCAGGGGTCCTTTTCGGAAGGATCCTACAAGCATCCTACAAGTAAGTCTTGCTTGACATACCTGGCCCTGGCAGCGGCAGGTAGATGGTGTTTTGCCCTGCAGCCCCCGGAACACAGAGCCCCAAAGTATACCCAAGTCAGATTTCCCTTAAGCCGGCCAAAGCCTTAAACTAAACCCCAGACAAACCCCAATTCCGAAGCCGCGAAGTTCGAGGAACTTGGGTGAGGGGGCAACAGGCCGTGTGCTCCTTGCCAAGGCCCGAGAATGAAGGTTGTGGATTCAGGGTTTCGAGTTTCGGTTGCTGTGCTGAGATGTGACGGAAGCTCTTTTTCGGGAAGTCGTGGGGGAAGCGTTTGGATCAGGGCGGGTTCGGCAGAAAGCGGTGGGGTTGGGTTTAGAATACTCAGGCAGGGCAGAGATCCGAATTTTGGGTGGAGCTTAGGGTGTAGCGTTAAGATGAGATGGATTAGGGATAGTGTCATACTATAAACCCCTCCACCCTAAACCCCAAATCCCAAACTCCCCAAACCCGAACGTGTGCAGGCCAAGAAGACGGAAGACAGGCTCGCCTTGAAGGCGCGGTCTCCCTGAGGTTTCACAGGGTGCTGATACAACTTTATGGGGCTTGATTTTTGTGCCAGTTTGTCGGGAGTTTCATGGGGTTTATACAAATTTGTACAAGCTGTCTTTCTTAGGTTTGGGGGTCCCAGCTCCGGAGTTTACGCTTCAGGTTTTCGGGGTGGTCTACCATGTAGGCTTTCGGATTCAGGGCGCTGGGTTGTGGGGGTCAGAGTTTGGTGTTGGAAGCTCCAGGGTGTGGGGCGTTGCGTGCAAGCAGGCCCGCCGACTGAACCCTAAAGTTCCCTGCAGGGTTTCGGGCTTTAGAATTTAGGGTTAAGAGCGTCTCAAGCGCAAGAGAATTCGAATCAGGAGTGTCGCTGCCAGTGACGAGCCTAGACCTAAACCGCAGCCTGCACCCGAATCCTCGGGTTACTTTTGGACTAAGTCATTTGTGCGAGTCTCTCATGAATACGACAAGCGCATGTCCGAGCGATGTTTGCAGAGTTGGGGTTTTCCGGCATCGCAGGTATTCAGCAGTTAGAGATACTCCTTCCTCCGGTCAATAGTCAATCCTGTCTAAACACGTAAAAGAAGGAGCACAAAACCACCGCAAAGAGTACTTTGGTGTCCGTTGTGCCTCAAAATCCAAACTGCGAAACCCAAGACTCCGATGTGCTCCTACGCGTGCTAGTTCTTTCTGCTTCACCGCCAGGTTGTTCACAAAGCACCCTACGGAGAAGCCCTTAGTGGGGAGGAGCCGTGAGAGCGAGCCAGATCGCAGTTGCACAGGTTTGTCCTCGTCAGGCCACTCTCTGGTAATGTTGCTGTCCGCTGTGCTCGGGTCACAATCGGACAATGATTGTCACTGCGTGTCACTTTGCAGCTGCAATGTTGATGACAACGGTGATGATAATGATGACAATGGTGATGGTGGTGGTTGGTGGTGATGGTCATTATGATGACGTTGATGCTGATGATGCTGATCCTGATGGTGATGATGCTGATGTTGTTGTTGATGACGGTCATGAACTTGGATGTTGTGCGTAATGGTGGCAATAAAGATGACGATGTTCGAAACTTGCTATTGCAGTACGACTGCAAATATATTTATGTTGTTCTGTTGGCTCTTGTTTCCATCAGTATGAATCTTGTCCATTCGTATGGGCATGGGTATAGTTGCGACTGCAAATCTAGTGTTAGCATCATGCGTAGTCGTGGCTAGGAGTCGTCGGCCTCGTCGTGGAGCAGTGGTGGTTGTTGTGCTCGTTTTGAGGGCCGGGGTGGCGGCAGCAGCAGCAGAAGGAGGGCTGCAGGAGCAGGAGGGGCAGGTGGCCCTAGAAGCCGAAGGAGCTGCAGCGCTAACATGACGAAGACGACGGCAACTAGACGACGAACAGGACAACGACGACGACTACCACGGCCACTACCACAGCCTGCGCTGTCATTACTGCTTTTTGTCTTCTCTTCTTCTCGGTCTTCTTTGAATCTATTTTCGGCCTAGGGGTTCCTCTTTGGCATGTCGGCCCTGGTGCCCGCCGTGCACGCTGAAGTTCCGGGTCCGAAATCGTCATGTGGGAGTTCCCAACATAGGGGACCCTAATATGGTACCCTAAATAGTAGGATCCTTTTTATAAGGGCCCCTAAATAAGGTACCCCTAATTTTCGGAAGCTCTACACCCTGATACATCCCTTTAAAGGAACCCTTATAGTAAGCTACCCCTAATTTTCGGAAACTCCCATGTAATCAGGCCAGAGCAAGGCCTCGCAGCCAAAAGCGGCACAAACAGACCAGCAAAGCTCCAAATCGTAAGCGGCCGAAGCCCTAAACCCTAAACCCTAAGCCCTAAATCCCTAAACCCTAAACCCCTAAACCCCCAAACCCTGAACTAAACTTAGGCCCGAAACCCTGAACCCCTTAAGCCACCGAAGCCCTACAGCGACCGCAGCAGAGGAGCTGGAGATGCTAAGGAACAGCATCAAAAGCGATGCTCGGATGTAGCGAGCTTCAGGGCTTTGGGCGTCGGGCTCTGGGGTTCAGGATTAAGGGTTTAGGGTTTAGGGTTTAGGGTTGAGGGTTTAGGGTTCAGGATTTAGGGTTTAAGGTTTAGGGGCGTCGGGTTTTGGGGTTAACAGGTACACATAGGATTTAGGCAGGTAGGCTTATTTGGGATGCGGAGTTCATGTGCTCGGGGAGTTGTGAGGCAACACGAAGCTGAGTTTGGGTGTATGGGGATGAACTGTGGGGTGTAGTAGAGTTTTCGGGTTTTGCGTTTATTGTTTGGGGAGTTGGGTTTCTGCGTAGGATCTATCTAGAGTTTAGAGCTTCTAGAGTTTAGTGTTCAGGTCTTGACGGAGAAGAAGGTTCAAAGCAATGGCAAGGATGAGTTGTGCCACAAAGCTTGTCATGCTGTCAACTAGATGGAGCGGCGAACTGAAAAAATGTAGTTGTGGTAGTAGGAATGCAGTAGTAGCGCAGGCGATACTTGTGAACCCTACGCCCTGCACCCAAAACTCCCATGCCATGAGAGGAAGTGGAACACCTCCAGCTCCTCGACCACCCCCACATCATCCGACTACACGGTCATTTCGAGGACGCTGAGGCACCCTACAGATTGGGAGCATCATGGCGAGTGTAGTCGGCGATGCTTTCCGTTTAGGGCCTGGGGGTCGCGGTACTTCCAAGCTCGCCAGCTAAAGGATCGCAAACTTAGAGCTTTTCGTTTTTCCAACGCCGGCCTTGCTAATGCTTGTAGTTCTGCAATGGCTATGCCTTGCACCGCCTGCACCAGACGATTCTTGATTCTTCCGCCCGGCGCAGTCAAATCGACAAGCTGCGCAACAGGGTAGACTAGCTTGAAAACCGATCTAACAACGCATGTAGTAGACTGCAAACAGCCTCAAGTTCCCACACATGGGTCCTCGTTGCCGGGGTCATTCTAACGATCAGCCCCCTTCCAGTGGAAGCCCATAGGCCATAGGCATAGCCCTTGACCCCACGCATCCTAGGATGAGAAAGCCCCCCGAGCTCCAAATCCCAAAGTCCTGACTAACAAATAGCCAAATGATATCACACCAAGCTCCACATCGCGAGTTGCAAGTTATCAGTCATAAAGCAGTAAAGCAAAACCAAGAAGCTGGACCCAGCTTTGTAGGCGTGGTATGTGGCTCTCCAATACTGCGCCTCCGGGGACCTCGCGAGTGTTATGGAGGAGTACAAGGAGCAGCTCGGTTGCAATTGGGGCCTTCATACTTACCACCAGTACCACCAGACCAGCACCACCAGCATCAGCATCGTCACCATCATCGTTATCAGCATCATCATCACCATCATCACCATGGTTGTCATCGTCACAAGTCAACAGCATCAACATCCTACTTCTGTCCGCAACATCGTCATCGCAATTTGCATACTATGCGTAAGACCGGGAGCAAAGCGCCAGACATGTTGGTGCCATCTGAGGGACGACGGCCTCGACAGCAAGTGCCCTCGCACCGGCCTCATTCAGATGCCACTGCGCTTCTCGCTCAAGGTCACCTACCAGGCTCTTTCCGGGATGAAGGCATGTTATCCGTTGACAGCTGCATCCAAAATATCACTTGCCAGTGCCATGCAAGCATGTTCGAATTATCATGTCCCCCCATTGACCCGTTCACAGCTCGTCCGAGTCCTTGGTCGTACCCGTTGATACCCTTCTGAAGGTGCAAAATAACAGGCGCCACACCCTGAAGGATAAGCTTCGACCTATACCCTAAACCTTAAACCCGAACCCCTCAAGTATCGCCTTCTTGGCACTTGGATACGTTGAGTTTCCTGAAAACCTTAAGCCTGTTAGAGCTCCATGCAATGCCTTCTCACTCTCGCAGACATTTCAAAAGGGCGCGGACGCATCGTTGCGCACTGATAGTTCTTCCAAGCCCTAAACCCTAGGACCTGGGTTAGGGTTTCAGGGCTTAGTATATGGTCATGGAGACCGGCTCAGGATCTGGAGTTGTTTGTGATCATTTCACTATCGCTTGGCGGTCGTCATGCATACGTAAGTTATGTATTGTCGGGCAATACCTTAGTCAGCACCGTAAAGCCTAAACACCAAATTTTGCTCAACTCCCCATAACCTCTACCCCTCTTGAACATTCAGTCCCCCCAAAAGCCCCGAACCCTCGCTAAACCCCCCGAAACCATCAGAAGCCGCGAGACCTGGGGAGGTCTTATCTGCGCTGTCTTACATGCATGGGCGCGGCATCATGCACTTAGACCTGAAATGCCAGAGCCGAGGCAGAAGATGATGATTTACTACAGGGGCCTTAAATGTAAGAATCAGGTTCCTCTAAAAGTGCTGCTGTAAGGGTTACTATAAGGGTACTATGATATGGGGGCTTTAATAATTACCTATACTAATGTTGTGGGCTCCTCATTATAATTACATAGCATCATGGGCCCCAAAACCCTATTCTAATTATTAAGGCCCCTATGTTAGGTTGCAGGGTTTAGGGTCTCAGGCTTCAGTGGCTGCGGAATTTTGAGGCATACAGAGGCCGGAGAAATTGCTACTGCTATTCCCGCAGGTTCTTCAATATACTTCTACATTCTTCAATATACTTTCACCTTAGTACCGTTCAAAACCTATCCTGGCTGTTTCAAGTCTGATATTTGCTCAGTGGGGAGGCAGGGTGTATTTTCTGGAATACATGTACTGTCACTGCAGTTACCTATGCACATCAGCATCGTGTTCATTCAAGTGCCTGCTGGTTTGTAGGTATGTACGTATGACTGCGTATGTCAATGTATGTGGGTCAGTGCATGCCTATGCACACGTCTATGTCTATGCGTACGTACATATACATATACATATATATATATATATACATGTGCATATGCATATGTATACGTAAGTATACGTATATGTGTATGCAGCATGCATATGCACATGTATATGTATGTGCATAGGTAGTATATACGTAGATGTGTATGTATGCGTGTATGTACGTATGTATGTCCTTACTATCTTCATTAACCCAGATGGTTGGTGCTGCCATCAGAAAGCATCTGTGCCCTACACCGGGGCAGCGTGGCCCCGCTTGCTTCGAGAGCACCAATGCAAGAACCAACATCGGATATTATGAGTGCGCCAGTTGTCGTCTTGAATTCCGACCTTTTCTGCATCAGTGATTCCTGTACGAAGCCCGAGCCCATCTCAGGAACATCATGTTCCATGTGGCCTACAAAGGCACTGTGGGTATCTGGGTTGCGACTTCGATCTTCGTCAGTTTGGAAAACCGGCGTCTTCGAGAGCTCTTATCAGTGGGGCAGGGTACTCTGTTGTACCTGATCATGTTCATTTCTTGTTCATAGCGCTTGCGACATCTTCAGCATGAGACGCCGGAGATTAGATGCTGACAAGTCCAGCCCTTTTGCCCTTCAGCAGGGCGTCCCTTTCGCAGTGCCTCCACCTTCTAATACTCCGGCCATTTTCGCCCTTTGCCGCTCTCAGCCTTTGGTCCCTGCAGGTTTCGAGGCTGGTCTCCATAAACTTCCCACTGAACGAACAGCCCTGTACCCTGGGGCGCTGTACCGAAGCCTTGAAATCCAAGCCCGACCAAACCAGTGTACTGGTTGACCCTTCGTAGCACAATCTAACCTACCCGTCAATGTCTTAAGCCCATAAATCCTTAAGCTGCTAGTTTCGATGAGAACGACGGCTCAGTGTAGAGGACTCACTGCACGGTCAGACTGGGTAGGAGCCGGGACATAGCAGCGCTTTTGAACACATCTCTAGTTATCACCTCTGCATGCCCTATGTGACGCGACGCACTGTTGCGAATCAAATGCGAGCAGCTACGAACAATCATGGAAGGGCTCTGGCCGTAGACCGTGAATAGCACGAAATTCTAAACCCAAACCCCAAACTCTGAACCTCAAACGATAAAACCTGAAACCCCTAAAGCCCTGAACCGCAGCTCTAAATCCTGGAAGGGCTTGTCTCTCGTTTTGCTGGTTCCCTCGCAGGAACGGTCCTTCCTGGCGAGGTGTCCGGACACCCACCACCGTTCATGGTCATGAAGGCTCCCTTGGCTACTAATACTACAGGGGCCTTAAATAATTACCTATACTCTTTTTGGGGTTCCTGACAACCCTGTTCGAATTAGCAAGGCCCCTGTAGTATTAACGTGGAGACCTTAATGATTGGAATAGGACTTTTAACGGGTCTGCTACAGTGTAAGTATGCACGGACAACAAGGGAAGGGGGATACTGTTATTGATTATGCAGTGCTCCATATTGACTCTGAGCTTGCAAAGTTTAGGGCTTATAGGGTCGAGGAGAAGCCGGCATTTGTCCCTGCCAGCGCCGTGGGCATTACCGATTTCAGGGGAGCCCCGTTCAGACTTTGAGGTTGTGGGTTTGGGGCTCAGGGATTAGGGTTCAAAGGGTTTAGGGTTAAGGACCCAGGGATTAGAGCTTGAGAAACTTAATCCGTTAGAGTTGTCTCCCCGCGATAGTTGTCTATCCGCAAGAATTTTTGGGGGGGTTCCTCACCCAGGTCGTACATCGTAGTGTCCTTATCATACGGGCCGTAACCCTAAGATTGAGGCTCCTGTTTTTCACGTTAGCGACCTTGCGGACTTACAGGCAACACCTGAAGCTCCTAACCTTCGTCCGTGGGAGGACCGAAAATACGGCTTAATAGTTACCAATACTATTTGCGGCGCTCCTGATTGTGATGAATTCTGATTCTTAAGGCCCGTATACTAGTAGTAGTGTCGAGCGATCCCCAACCGTGCCTTTGATTTCAAGAAAGCAAAAATCCACAAGCGCCCTTTGGACCTTAAGCCCGAAATCTCCGAACCTGCTTGCCTGGGAGCTTCATACCTTAAACCCTGAGCCCTACACTTGAAAGCCCTAAGGGCCACAGGGATAAAGCACTGTAGCTCCCAACCTCGTTTTGGGGTTCTTGTTGAGAAATGTGATTTAAGTTACCATGATAGGGATCTGTAGTAAATACTATGGTTTCTTTATGGTGACTTAAACTAAGCTCCACAACAGAAAACACCCCGTTTGGCGGAAGGACCCCCATGCCATGTTGGTGGACTTCGGAACTTCGCAGAAGACGTCGCAGCCTTCGGAAGGACCCGTAGGCACCACCGGCTTGGATCGTAGGCATCAGATCTTCAAGGGGCCCTAAGGAGATTTGGGGTTTAGGGTGTTTAGAGTTTAAGGGTTTAGGAAGGATTTAGGAGTTTGCGGTTTAGGGTTTGGGGTTTAGGGTTTGGGGTGGGGCTTAGGCCTTTGTCCAAGAACAGGTTCTGGGATTTCGAGTTTAGTGCCTCGATGTGGCCTTTTTTTGTGTTAGGGTGGGTACTGGACATGTTTTGTTTACCCAGGATTGCCATACAGTTAACCCCAGTTGGAAGCCGGATTAAGGACAACTAGTGCTGGGATTCCCTATACATCACTCAGGATTGAGGCCAGGGGGTTTTCAACTTCTGGGCCACTACTATAGGTTGCTTAGAGGTTCCCTTCTGAAGATTTCAATCTTCTTGAGCTGAGGTTGCTTTTCCCAAAAATGGCTCCTGCAGGTTTGACAGGGTATGGCGCTTTGGCCGCCATGCATGGTAGAAGAAGCCCTAGGCCCCTCGGTAAACCCCAACCCCCACCAAATTCAAAACCCAAAAACCCATAGAGCAAATCCAAGAATCCTCCCTAAACCCTAAACGCCCCAAACCCCAAAAGCCCCTAGACCTGAATCCTCCCTAAACCCTAAACGCCTTAAACCCTAAATAGAACCCTTATAGATCCATGTAAGGAATCCTTATGGATCCCTTTAAAGGGTGCCCCTAGAGAAAATCCCCGAAGCTTTTAAGAAATCTCGCAGGCACGCCTGCCTACATGGCGCCTGAAGCATGGGCCGGCAAGCTCACGCCCAAGGCAGGGGGTTTAGGGTTTGGGGTTTGAGGTTTAGAGTTTGGGGTTTAGGGGTTTAGGGCTTAGAGTTTAGGGTTTAGGGTTTAGGGTTTGCGGCAGCTGTCTGAGTCACATACTGGGAATGTTGGGTGGGGTTTAGGGGTGTAGGGTTTAGAGTTTGGTAGAGTTTAGGGTGGCGTTCGTAAGAGTTTATCTGTTCGCGAAGGCTTCAGAGCGTTAGAATACTGTGCCTGAAAGATGACATAGGGTTTGAAGGGTTCCGAGGGCCTCACTACTGGGCGATGAGAGCTTTCATGGTTGTGGGTTTACAGCTTCAGGGCGGTTCCCCTGAGCCAAACATCTAAATACCTCAAGCCTGAGTGAACCGTTTCGCCGCCCGGTTTTTGCAGAAGTTTCCGCCCAGGAAGCAAATTCCAAGACCTCTGAGCCCTGGCAGCCATGAGCCCTCGGACCTTGAGACGTGAACATATACACCTCAAATCCTTAAACCCCTGAACACGAAGATACGCGAAGTGCGTGGGTCTCGGAATACATTGTGGGGTTTAGGCTTAATTAGGGTTTAGGAGGGTCTAGGGCTTGTATTCCTTGGGTCTAAGAAGTCGCAGTCTGGAGCCATAATTCCGTGCAAGGCAGATATCTTCGGTCTCGGCGGAGCCACTCTGCGGCGCTTTTGCCAAGGGTTTAGGGTTAGGGTTCAGGGTTTCGGGTTCGATGGGTTGTTTAAGGATTCAGGCTTTCGGGCCCGAAAAGCCTGCGTCAAAGACACGGATCCCTTTCTGGGCTCCTTTCTGTTGGGATAACAGCCCACTGCTCATAAACGAAGTACCCGAAATCCTCAACGCTCATGAACCCCCAACCCGACGGGTAACCCTTTAATCTGGAACCCTAAACTTAAAAAACCCAACCCTTGAATGCTAAAGCTCAGACTCCAATCCCCAAGCCCTACATCCTAAAGCCTTCGTCCTGCACTCTTATCACTGATCCTCAAACCCTAAACTTTAAATCCTTAACCTTAAATCGTCAAACCCACAAATCGAGAAGTGTACCAAGTAAACAAAATCGTCAAACCCTAATATATATATATATATATATATATATATATATATATATATATATATATCCAAATCCTCAGGTTTTTTTCCAGCTCCTGGCCGGGAAGATGGCCTTTCAGGTGCCCGACTGCCCCGACATCGCCGAGTGCTGCTTGGTCGACGGGGAGCTCCTGGGGGTTCGCACTTGGGTTTGGGTTTAGGGTTCAGGGTTTAGGGGTTTAGGGTTTCGGGTTTAGGGTCGATAGGGCAGTTTAGGAGGGGAGGTTTGGGGCTAAGGGCTTAGGGTTGAGGGCCTGGGGTTAGGGTTGAGGGCCAAGCTGGAGGGCTTACAGTTTCAGTTGACACTGCCCAGTCAAGGCGTGTATATTCGCGCATGTATACCTTGCTTCCGACTTCTTATCCTTCAACCGCGGTTGTAACACTTAGGGTTTAGGGTTCTACACTCTACACGGTATGTCGCGTTCAAGAGAGAGTGAGAGTGAGAATGAGAGTGGGAGGATGTTTCTCAAGGCTGACTAGTGCAGTACATTCATGAGACAGGGATTTCGGCTGCACAAGCTGCCAAGAACGCACTGCGGCTTTGCATTTATCATGACGGCCACGACCGAGGCTACTGGCAGATGGAGCCGACCGCCCCATGGAACGAAGTGCCCTACGTTGCTCCGCAGTGCCAGGAGGTCGCCTGCCCGCATGACTTCGGGGATGCTGAACCGAAGGATGCCGAAACCAGGCAGCCCAAGTCTCTGCTAGCTGAAGTGGACCTTATCTTCGACAGACAGCAGACAGCTGATTTGGAAGACCCCTCAGCCCTACATCCATGTTGCTTTTGCTGTTTGGTGGGGCAGGGGTTCCGGTGTTGGGTGTAGATGGAGACGCAACAGCTTTAGGGTTAAGGGCAGCGTTGGTGGTATCTATTTGTTTGTTTCACGCCCTGTCACTGCTTTTGTCAAGGGAGGGGATTAGTCGCCAGGCGTCAGCAATTTATGTGTCCCAGTGCTCCACTCAGAGCCTTTGCAAAGGTTCGTTGCATTAGTCGGGAAAAGGAACGACACGTCGCATCATATAAAAGCCTGTATTTAATTACCAATATTTTGCGCCACACTTCCTGATTATAATTAAGCATACTAAAGGAGTTCAAAACCTTATCCTAATTAGGAAAGCCCCTGCGTTATATGAATCCCTCAAACTTCGTCGTCGCAACCTCCAAGCTGCAGCTTCCCAGTTCCCGGCTCCTTTTCCGAATCCCTATGAACTGTGGACCTACAGCTTACGCACCAGGGACCTCCGAAGCAGCCGAACCTGAAGCGTTACAGGCTGACCTGAAGGCCGCAGCACTGAAGCAAGCTTGCCCCGAACACTAGCCCCTGAACTGCCGATATCCTGTCCTCTAGTTCCGAAGCCTGTAAGCCCTACTCCTCATAGTTATGGAAACTCTATCTATCCTAAACCCCAAACCCAAAACCCCCAAAGCCAAGACTCCTAGACGCAAAAAGACTCCTAAACCCTAGATTCTGGACCCTAAATCCGAGGTTTGTGATCAAATGCTTCGGCACGATTTCAACATGCGACCTGAGGCCAAGGTCGCGCCCTGATTGGGGGTTTAGGGTTTCGGGTTACCTGGAACCCCAGAGTATGTAGAATATTGGCCTTTTCATAGATATTGGGCCATTATCTACTTTGGGGATGTACGTAAGGGGATTTTGGTGTTCAGGGGCTCATGATGCGGAATATAGAAGAGCCTGAATAGAAACGAACCATATCCCGTTACTGTAGTCCTTCTACAATGAGGCTACACTGTACCTCTAAGTTGGCTGCATCCTTTCGCAGCGTTCCCCACTTTTGCACCACGGCACCACGCTACAATCCCGAAGACAGCTGCAACTGTCATGAAAACGTGTAGTTGCCCATATATTATCTATTTACCTATCTATCTATCCATCTATCCATCTATCCATCCTTCCATCTATCCATCCATCCATCCATCCATCCATCCATCCATCCATCGATCTATCCATCCATCTATCTATCTATCTGTTATCTACTATCTATTATCGGTTATCTACTAGTATATCTACGTACCTATCTATCTATCTATCTACCTAGCTGTCTATCCATAAGCATCCATCCGTCCGTCCATCCATTCATTCGTCAATTCATCCATTCGTGCATCTCTATGTTTCTCTTTCACTCTTTCTTTCTCTGGCTCTCTCTGCATAATATGTGTGTGTGTGTGTATATATATATAATATGCATGCATGTGAACACATAACATATCTATCTATCCGTGCATATAAAAATGTACGCCAATACTCACATCTTTGTTCGTTTCTTGAACCGTTGAAATTTCAGCGCCTTAAGAAGAAGCTTTCTAAACCCTAAACCCTAAGCCGCAAACCGTCTTCTGGCCCTCCAGGAGCTCTTGCTTCATCCCATCTTCTCCGACTTGAGGGGGGCGGCGCCGGAAAAGGCAGAGCAGGCCTCAAGCTTTTCAAATTGGGGGGCTCCTTCGGGGGGGTCCTATGTGAAACTGAAGACGGCGCAATTTCGATGCTTTGTCGGGCTTTTGGGGTTCGGGGGTTCGGGTCTTGCAGGGTTTGGGACTAAAATTAGACGCGAGACTTGCAAGTGTTTGTGGGTTTCTATGGGACCTCATAGGATTTGGGGTTTTGATGGGTTTGGGGGAAAGATTCTCGTGCGAGTTAGGGTGTTGATGGGTTTGGGGTGAAGATTGACTGTCTCGTTTCAGGGTTGCTACTTGCTGTTTTGGGTAAGTGTTTGTGGGTTCCCCCATATATGGGATCAAAAGTGTAATTTGAGCTTTGGGGTCGGAGCCCGACAAACCTTAAGCCCTACAGTCTTTGCACGGTCTTTGCTCGGAACTTGCTGGGGATATGTTTTCAGATTCAGTTCTGCATCAAAACTGAAAAGTCCACCCCATCGATGATGTGAGCATGCCCCTGAACAGCGATAGTCGAGGCTTCAAACCTAAACATTAAGCTCTCAACTACTATTATGTTCTGTGCAGTAGAAGGTGTGTCGCACATTGCGAATCTTCGCGTCATCGAACCGTTCAAAGTCGAAAACGTGACCACCAAACCCTTCACCCGAAACCCTCAATCCCAAATCCCCGAAACCACGAAGCAGCAGCAAGCCAACACAATCTGAAGATCTCCGGCCGCAACCTAACGGCCCACGAATCCCACACAGTTGCGTAAGGCTTCACCTCAAACCCAAAACCCCGAAAGCCTCGGAGAAGAGGTGCCGGCGATGCCGAAGCAATATGCAGAGCTCTTGGCCAACTACGGTGATCGGGATGTGCTGCAGTCGCTTGGCTTTGTGGGCCTTGCGTAGGAGGACGCTTCCCAGACTCAGATTTTGGACTTTTGGTGCAGGGCTTGTGCATACTTGGCGTAGTATCCTGAAGAGCGAGTAGTGGAGCCTGTTTTCTTCCCTGGGCACTCCGAGCCCCGGACTGAACCTCTTACCGTCTTATACAGAGACTACTTCGGACCGTAATGCTGCCGGACTTGCCACCAGGCCCAGAAGAGTCTCTACATAGCCATAAAGCCGGCACGAAAGCTACGTAGAGTCGTAAAGAATACTGGGCACAACCTCTCATCAGACTCGAGGGGTAAGGCATGAGCTTTCTAGCACTCTGGCCATTCCTGAAACGTGAATCCTAGTCTACCAGAATCCCTTGTGAGGGTGGGTGCTTCCCTGACCATGCCCTAAACTCTAGATTGGCAGAGAAACCCCATGCCGCTCGCTCGAGTCTGACATGAATGGTGTACGATGTGCGGCGTGTGGGCCAAGCGTGGAGATAGGTACCTTGTTTAGTAGGCTGCGTATCAGTGTTTTGCGTTCAACCCTTTCGTATGATTTTTGTTTGCCTGGGTAATGAGGAAGTGAGGGCAGCCGTGAATTCCAAGTCCTAAACCCAAAGCCCTACACCTTAAACCTTAAATTGCATACCCCAGGGCCTTAACCGCAGGTTGTGTACCATGAACCTTCAATCCTAACCCTGAGACCGACTTTTTCATGGTCGTTGACGTGAGGATTAGGGTTGTGTGTTTAGGGTTTGGTGCTGAGGCTTTGCCGCCTTGTGGCATGTCTCTGTCTCTTCTGCTATCCTAAACCCAAAATAAACCCTACTGAGGAAGTGCTTGCGGATGAAGCTGGCCGCAGACTGGTCCCCGAACCAGATGCCAAGCTTTCAGTGGCCCGGGGCAATATTTGAAGTTCAGGGCTTTTCGGTTTTTGGGGGTTTGGGACCAGGGGCTTAGGGGCTTATAGGGTTTAGGATTTTAACTTGGGGCTCAGGCCTTGGGGATTTGAGGTAAAAGCTGCTGAAGGGGAACATCCTGCAGCTTTGAGTCAGGGCTCCGAGGTACGGGGTTTCGGGGCTAACCCAAAACCCTAAACCGCAGTTTTTGGGGGGTTTGGGAGGCGAGGGCGAGGGCGAGGCTTTAGAATTTAGGGTTCAGAGCTTCGGGGCTTTCTCATTCCAGCTTCCAGGCTTCCGGGTTTCCGGGCTTCCGGGGGGTGTTGCGTTTCTGTTGCGGTGTTGGGGGTAGGAGCTACACGGCGTCAAGCCCGAGCACCTAAATGCTAAGCGCTGTTGCCCTTCTGAGTTGTACCCTGTATCCTGAACGCTGTCCCAAAGAAGGTTCCTCCCCACCCTGCTTTGCGTAGCCTTCAAGACGGATTGAATGTTTGCAGGCGGTTTAAAGTTTAGAGCGAAAGGAGCCCTAAGCCCTGAAAGGCCCTACAAAGAGCCCAAGAAACATCAAACAAATCCCAAAACCCTTAAAGGAGCCCTGCAAGGAACCCTTAAAGGAAACCTAAACGGAGCCCTTAAAGGAGCCCTCCTTAAAGGCACCGCCCCAAAAAATCCCAAAGACGTCCCTCTCCCCAGGCGCCTCTTCGTAGCCTTGGGCGGCCCAGGATCCGGGGTCTCTCCGGCACGGCTCAGCTGCTTGGGACCAGAGAGGGAGACGTTTGAGGATTTAGGGCTTATGGATATTAGAATGGTCTATGGTAGAAGCCAGAAAGTTGGAACATGGGTTTAGGAGGATTAGTGCTGGGATCCCATTATACTTTACCTGAAGGGCATGAGGACAATGATGTTCCAACTCTCTGGCTTCTACTATAGGGTTTAAGGTTTAGGGCTTAGGGTTACCATAAGAGCTCCTTTCAGAGAGTACTACAAGGGATTGTTACTTTGTGCTCCTTGATTGCAACGAAGCCCCTAAATGGTTTGTTCTCGGCCAAGAACATGGGGCTTGAGGTCTAGGCTGTAGGGCGTAGAGCGGCATGGTGGGGGGTTCGTTGCTGTTCCTTGGACGGCAGGGTTCCTTTCTGGGGGTCTTAATTCCAAGGCTGCTGCTCCTAACTCAGAGCCTATTTTTTTCACGCACGATTTTCGAGTCTCTTGGCTCCCATAAACCAGGTTGTTCACATCATTTTGGCTTGCTGGTTGCTGGTTACCCCCATACCCCGATAGAGCCTTCCTCACCATGCCCCAATTCCCCCGACCTCAACTCCCTAAACCCTAAACCTCAAATCCTGAAAAGCTCTGAGCCATGACTGCATCCAGGTGCCGCCCTGCGACCCGTCTTGGGTGATGCCCGAGCCCAGCGAGCGGCTGCCGCGGTGGCGAGCTGGCTGAGAACACGGTGCGGTCGGAGTCGAGGAGGTTCAGGGTTTAGGGTTGCGGTTTGCATCTAAGCTAGAACCTCAAAAATGACAGTATCGAAAGCATGAGTATTGCTAGCAGACTAGTGCAGAACATCAATCACAGCTCCAATCGGTTCCTGCCATGAGATGGTTTAGACCTCCATCTTCCTCCGGCTCCTCTTCAGCCATGTATCGAGGCCTTCACAATTAGCCTAGGGGTTTTGGGGTATCTTACAAGAGTCACAGTACTTCTAACAAGAGCTCCAAAGAATTTTAGAACCACCTCTTAGGCAGACTTCCTTAAAAGCGAGAGACCCCAGCAATCCTAAGCCAGGAGCCCCAAAGCCCAAGAATCCATCCAAAGCCCTCCAAGCTTCAGCCCCGGAACGCCGAACCCCCGAAACCGCCTCCCCGCCAAGCTGCAACTGCTAGCCCGACACAAGTGCGGAATCGGGAGAAATCCAGTACGAAACCATGAAACCACATTATGAAGCACTCCAAACTACACTCAAGAAACAAATTCTAAAGCTGATCATATCTAAATGAGCCCTGGATCAGCCCTCCACCTTAAACCCTAAACATTTGACCCTTAAACCCTAACCGGGAGTTTCCGGGAATGAGGGGTGCCTTGTTATGGGGGTCCTTATAACATGGATCCTACTATTTAGGGTACGTTGCTATAGTTAGGCTTCCCTAGTTTCGGAAACTCCCTAAATGAACCCTAAACACCCTCAACCCTCAAACCTAAACCCGAAAGCCCTGGGTTCGAAAGCCCCCTATTTTCGGAAACCCTAAATGAAGCTTTCAACCCAGAACCCTCCAACAGCCTTACCGAGGCTGAGTCCAGTCCTCCGATGCTGGATTCTGGGTCCCTCTAAGGCTTTCTCTAAGGGTGCGATTCCTTCAAGAAGGGTTCCTTTTAAGGGTTTTCTTTAAGGGCTCCTTGAAGGGATTCTCTGTCCTTGTTCAGGAATTCAGCTTAAGTGTAGAGTTTAGGGGTTCAGGGGTTGAGGTTAAGAGTTCAGGGTTTAGGCGTGTAGGGTTTAGCTCTACGTTACCATACTAGGGATCTTGTTGCTACAGCTATTATTCCTCTACTACGGCATCTCAAGTTTTGTCATGATTAAACCCCTTCTACTGCGATTCTGATTCTGATTACTATTATGATTATGTTTGGTCTTATCATCTTTATGTTGCCTAGATTATTCCTCATCATGAAATTTAAACCTTATGATGATTCAAGCCCTGAAGAAGAGCCCAGGATTGGACGGAGTTCGTGGCGGCCTTGGTCGACCTCGGCGACCCAAAGGCTCCTTTCTCCTTTTACTTTGCAGGAGTGGGGTGGGTGGGGGGGGTTTCAGGGTTTAGGGTTTAGGGCAAAGGCGTTTGTAAGAGATTTCAAGGGTTTCATGACATCTACAGTTTTTGTCTGGGGTTTCGAAGTTTCGAAGGGGTTCTAGACGGGTTCTAAACTTAGAAGGGGTTAAGACGAAGGTTATTGAAGAGTCTCCCAAGGCCTTACAGGGGTTCTATTAGTGGTTTCAACAGGCCAAGCGGAAAAACTGCAAAAGTACAACCAGGGCACACTTCCCTTCATCCGTGGCTCACCTGGGCTCGAAGCAGATCCATGGAAATAGCCCGGTTGTTCCTTAAAGGACAATCTACTCAGGCATTAGGGGCTGAGAGCGGGGTTTCTGTATCCGCCGGGAGGGTTCTTTTTGCTGCCATGTCGAGCTTGGAGAACCGGGGTGTGACCTTCGGCGTGCACGACTTCCGCGAGGGGACCCGGACGCGCGAGGAGCGACGGACATCCATGTCCCGGGCGCTTCTGGCAAGATCTTCTGGCAATCCTGCAGTTTTGCGTGAATGTGAATGCATATATGCATACATGCATACCTGCATACCTACCGACATACGTACATACATACATACATACGGACACATGTATACGATTATACATAGCACGGATCTCGTTATAATTTGTGTGACATCTGCTTGTAGACAGGTTCAGCTCATTCGAGGCTATCCGTTTTGAGACAGAGAGATCCGGGGTTTGCCTTTACCCGATTATGAGCCCTGAACCCTACCTATAGTCTCCATTGCAATTCCTTTTCTGGTTAACCAGTTTTATGGCTAGGATTCTATAATAGAGATTTTGGTTAACCAAAAAAAGGAACTACAATGTATAGGTAAATCCTAAGCCCGAATCCGCTGCGTTGCAGGAGTACCATGCTTTGCGTGCCTCCGGCGTGGGAGACCCGCGGCATCGGTTGTTTGGAGTGGACCCTGACGTGGGCACCTCGACTGCAGACAGGTCATAGCCGGTTTGGGGGTTTGAGGTCTTCGTGGGCACAGAGGGCGGGGTGGGGGGGGGGCTATTTTATGTGTGTGTATATATATATATGCATATGTTCTATATATATATATACACACACATGCATATGTATGTAATATGTCACACACACACACAAAGAGTGTCACGCAAGTGTTTGGTAAATTGTAACACAGTTCCCTGACGGGCAAAACTCTAGTCGAACTAAAAAGCAAATAGGCAGTTATCACCAGGCTTTAGGGGATGGTTTTCGGATGTTTGGGGTTCAGTTTCGTGTTGTCTGCGGCAGGGTTTGGCGTGTGCGCACCTTTGGATTGAAATAGTCCAACCCCAGAGGGTCCAAGTACTCCCTATTATAGGACTTTAGGGCCTTTTTAGGTACCAAAAACCATAAATCGGGACTACTTGGACCCTTAGGGAACTGCAGGGTTTCGGCTGTCGGTTCTAACTTCGTTTTGACGGGACGTCTCGGACTCTGGACTTAAGTTGTGGGGTTTCAGGGTTTGCCAGTGCCACGGTTTAGGGTTTAGGCTTTCGGGTTTAGGGTTTATAGGGCTTAGGGTTTATAGGGTTTAGGGTTTATAGGGTTTAGGCCCAAAACCCTAAACCCACTCGAGGCTTGACCCCAGCAGTCTCGTGCCAGGGATGTTGGTTTTAGGTTTCAAGGTATGGATTGCATTTAGAAGCCAACACAAGTATTCCACTGTTCCTTAGCCTTATAGAGTTTCTTGCTATAACCAAATTCTAGATTCTATAGTCCCCTAACCCCTTTTTTGTTTAGTAGGGCCCCTATATGAGCTGATGAAAGTTGAGGGGTTCAGGGGGTTGCATAGGTTATTCGGTTGTGGCGACTGCTACTGGGAGGCACCTTGAATGCGGCCACGCGCGCGTTCTCCTACGGCACCCGCGGACAGGCTTGCCGCGGAGTGGGTTTTGGGTGATGGTTTTCCAGGAAGTTGCTGCTAAGGTTTCAAAAGGAGAACCCTTTATAGCGGTGTTCACAAGCAGGATCCTACGTTCTCAGGCCCTCACACGTCCCTAAACCCTACCTGAACCCTAGAATGAAGATCAAACCTCAGCAAGAAATCCCAGAAACCCGCCTGACCTAAAGTTCAGAACCGTGAGATCTCGAAAGCCCCAAGGCCGAGATATGGGAGTTTCCGAAAACAAGGGGTGCCTTGTTTTAGGGTCCTCATAACAAAGATCCGACTTTTTTTGGGGGTATTACATAAGGGTCCCCTAATTTTCGGAAGTTACTATTTGGGGGGCCTGAATAATTTCTAAGACTTGTCCTTACGGTCTCTTGATATACTTTTAGTTTATCTTATAATACAAAGCTTCCAAAACCCTTCTTCTAGTTGCCGCAAGTTGCCTTGACAGAAACCTTATATCCCCTGCCTCAGAAACCTAAACCTCAAACCCAAAGCCCTAGCCGTCAATCACTATAGCCCTTATAAACCCTACACCTTGTAAAAAGCAGGATCCCAAAGCCGAGTATGCGCTCCCCAAGCCGAACGGCTCCTACGCGCAGCTGAGTGCGGATGCGACCTGGCCCGCCAGCGTCACCGGCGGGTTCGTGATTCCCTTCCAGTCTGGATCCAGGCCTCGGGCTTGGGGTTGAGAAAATAGGGCCGCAAGAGTCGCAATCAGTCTTTCAAGCATATGATACCATAAGCATAGGCAGGAAGAGGCCTGGAGTTTAAGGTACCTGTCCAGTCTGATCCCAGGCTCCCAAAATTGGCTGCGAACCGACCTTAAACTCAAATTTTGGGGTTTAGTATTTAGGGTGAAAGTTAAAGGAGTGGGGTAGATTAATCAGGAGTCTTCCTTACATCCCTGATCAGGTCGCAAAATATCTTCCCCACGGAGCGCACGCGCCGGGTTGGCTCTCTTGGGCGCCAGATCGTGGGCAACTGCACGGTGAAGGATGACGGATTAGTTCAGGGTTGAGGGCTGTGGCTTTGAGGGCTTAGGGTTCATCTACGCCTTCCAAGAACATCTAGGGATCTTACGCGACTTGTGTGTTTCTAGCCAGCTACTTTAGAAACCTTACAGCCTAACCACAAACCCTTACACCCTTAACCTAAACCCCGGCCCTAAACTCTCGAAGTCCCTACCCTAAAACCGGCTTAAGCATTCTAACCGCCTCTCCGGCAATCTTGCTCCTATAATGTACTTTAGCATGCTACAAAATGCTATGTTATATCTTACTAATACGATATACTATGTACATCTATGTACTATAGACTATGCATATCTTACTTTAGACTAGCTTGCCCGGCAGAATTTTGCCAGCCCCGAGAGTCGAAATGCTCGTGCTGAGGAATATACTCTTACTGTAAATCATAGTCAGGATGCTTCGTGAGCTCATCTACCCAGAGCGCATACTGGGTAGATAGTTGTCAAGAATAATCCTGAATCTGATTTACAGTTATTCCGGGTTTCTCCATGATTTTGGTATATTTCTCTGAGAAGTGCGACAGGGGCTTGGGGCCCTCGCTGTGGATGCACTGCCATGCTGAAAAAAAGACATACGTGGGTTTTCTCTTGAGCTTATAAGTTCCTGACACGAATCCAGGGAGGCTTGGAGAAAAGACGCTTACGATGTCGTGTTACAACGATTAGGGTTCCGTACTTCTCTGAAGCTGTCATGTCGTGCCATCAGTGCTGCAGGATGATCGGTTCTTCTACTATGGAGCCCACGGAAGCAACCACTACGGCAACAATAGCGGCTGCAGATCCACCTTGCAGTACAAGCCGGGCCCGTGAGAGGTCGTGCAGAGACTGCCGGACTGCAAGAAGGGCGAGGAAGTGTTGTCTTCATGAGCCCGAAGCCATAATTTTCAGTCGTTTGTATCAAGTCTTATTGGGTTTGGGCTTGCGTCCGTGTCTGATTACGTCGACAACCAACCTCGCATACTCTTGAGTGCCGTCGCCTTCAAAACGAAGGGAAGAGGGCCGTTTCACCCTTGAGAAGAAGTAGGACCTGGCCCGCCGTGGTCAAAGGAGGCTTCTATTCGGTTGGTCTCGGGTTGAACGTCCTAGGGCCATTATTATTACTATTATTATTACCATCACATATTATATATATATATATATATATAAATATATATATATATATATATAAATATATATATATATATTAGAATTATAACTATTGTTATTTAATACCATCTGCTTGTTGCGGAGCCCCGCGCTTTTCAGTACGAAGCAAGGCCCCAGCACCGCCGGCCTCAAAGCCTTGGATTTGAAGGTCCGGGAAGTACCACCAGACCCTCAACCTACCCTCCGGGGTCTTCCTAACTGCTTTGTGCAACCGCGGCCTCGGCCCAAACCCTCCAATCTCCTACACCCCCTACAAACCCTACATGAATCCCCTAAGCCCTTAAACTCTTGAACTCGGACAGAAGCCCTCGTAGAGGCGTTACGCCGAGCCGTCATAGTTACCCAAGGAACCCTGATACAGAGCCCTTTCTGGATCCCTTCTAGAGAACCCTTGCAAAGGAACCCCCTTTAATCCAGCCCTTTTAAATAGCGCTTGACGAACCCTTCCAAAGCAACCCTTGAAAGCACCCTAAATGAAGAACTCTTCTACCTAAACCCCTAAAACCCAAGCCCCAAAAAACCCTAAACCCCTACACCCCTAAACACTGAAACCCTATAGACCCCCAAACTAAACTCCTTAAGCCTCATCTCACCCGGATCGTCCGCAGTGACTGCTTGCATAAACTCCTAGGGGCAGACTCCCCAACCCCTAAAGCCCCAAAAGCCTTCAAAAGTGGAGCCCTTCGCCAGGCCGAGGCCTTTCTTCGGCGGGCCTTCGATGCTGCGGCCCTTCAGCGCCGTCATCGCGGGGTTGCGGGTTTTAGGGTTTCAGGTTGGAGGTTCAGGGCCTGGGGTTTAGGCTTCAGGGTTCCAGGTTTAGGAGCAGAATGCTGGGTTTATGCAGGATTCTGTACCTGTCTCAGTCTGAGTGGGAAGGCAGACCTAAAATGGGTTTTTGAGTTATAGTATGGTATGACTTTTTGGGACGTTCCGGGGATGCTATAAGTTACTGTGTGCGAAGAGTGCAGAACTCTATATTTAGTGCAAGGCTTTGGGGCTTCGTGGAGGCCTTGGGTGGGTTTCAAAACCTAGCGTTTGCGGATTTGGGTTCAAGACCCCGACGGCAGTTTGTCAAAGTGTCAGAACCTGAACTAAAAATAACTCACACTTTTGGGGTTGATTTTAACGAGTAGAGTCGGCATTCTCCTGGTCAGGTCATGCTCCTCTTCCCAATGACTCGTCATGAGCATCATCTTTGCAACCACTAAGTTCATGCTCCAGGCCCTGCACATCTCAAACTCCAAAGCGCCTGCACCCCTAAATCTAAGCTGCTAAGCCCCCCTCAAAAAAGCCTTGCACTCGAACCCTGAACACCCAAAACCCGGGTCTCGCAAACCGAGGACTCTGACGGCGATGGGCTGCTGGGTTTGAAGGTCCGGTGACTTCCTCGCTTTGTGGGTTCGCTATTGAGGCTTTAATAATTGCCTATACTATTTTGGCGGTTTTGGCCCCTATATTAGGGCTTCGGGCGCGAGGCTTTAGGGTTTTGGCCATTTTGGTGTAGGGGCGTAGGGCTCAGGGCGACGTGGCTTCCGGAGCTTCCTGCATGTAGGGGTTTCAGGTATTAGGGATACATTGTTCAGGGTCGTTATAGTACATTCAGGATGCTAAAGGAACACCCTCTCTCTCTCTCTCTCTCTCTCTCTCTCTCTCTCTCTCTCTCTCTCTCTCTCTCTCTCTCTCTCTCTCTCTCTCTCTCTCTCTTATATATATACACACATACTGTTAGGGCTGTTAGGGTTCCAGATTTCCTGCGCAGGAGCTGGCCTCACTGATGCATGCAGACGAGAAGAAGCACGCCCTACTTCTCCAGGAGTACATGGTGGCCCTCTGCGGCCGGGATCCTAGAGCGAAAGCACCAGGTTCTGGTCCTTGTAGCTGCAAACTGGGATCTGAAGTCATCGACCCTGAAAACTACCAGGGGTAGGGCTTTGGGGTGTAAGGTGGTGTAGGTTGGAATGGGGAGCCTAGGCGACAGTCACCCTCTAGGTTGGGCTCTGGGCGAAATCCCACGCCCGCCAGCATCGAAATCCTCGGATGTGTTTTGGGCCATCAGCAACGCTATGCTAAGCCCACGGTTTCTCGCTGCCAGCATCCCAAGACCACACTCAAAATCAAACCCTAAACCCAAACCCGATAGAACCCTAGAGCCCTGAAGCCCTAAGCCCTAAAACCCTAAACCCAAACCCGATAGAACCCTAGAGCCCTGAAGCCCTAAGCCCTAAAACCCTAAACCCAAACCCTAGAACCTTAAAAACCTAAAATCCTATACCTGAAACTCTAAACCCTAGAACCCTACACCTTCAGTTAAGACACAAAGAACAAGGTCGCGACAGCCCGGGCGCCAAGATCGACTGGGCCGCCTTCCGCCGACATTTCCGGAGCGCTCCTGGAGAGAGTGGCGAGAGGCGGGCGTTTTGCGTTTGTTTGTTTTGGGTTTGGTTGCTTTACATTCAGGCATTATCATAAAAACCAAAGAGATAGATAAGGGAACTAGACTTTAGACAACAAGGACGAAGAAGGTGAAACAGTTGTGTTGTATTGAGTATATTATATCAAATTTTTCTATAGAGAGAGGCAGAGAGGATGGGAATGTGTTGTTTTGGGTTAACCGTGTTTAAGCAAATCTTTTGTCTGACGCCTTTCCGGCGTTTTCTGCTCGGGGCATTCTGCCGGGTTGCAACGATTGAAGCCTTTTTTGTAGGCCTTCTTTGGCCACCTTGGTGCACGGTTCGTAGCTGGCCCAGGGCACGGGGTGCGAGCATGACTTGATCCTAGTGGATCCAAGTGCCTAACCCTAAGCCCTAAGCCCTAAATTGCCCTAACCCTGAGCCTGCCACCTTAAAACCTGTGTATAAGCCGTAAACCCAAACCTCAACCGCACACCAGGTGATTGCGAGTGGTTTCAGGCTTTGGGGCCATGTAACGCCGGTAGGCATGAGGGTGTTAAGCGTCGGGGCTTTGGGGTTCAACATGCTTTTTGGGACTTACTGTAGGGCTTAGGGTTCGAAGAATTATGTAGGGGCCGGAGTACTTACCAACGTTCTTCCAGTGGGTTTCTTAGTATAGCAGTTGGTATAACCCTACTACTCGCATCACAATTGCGCAAAAACCCAATTCTAATCGCTAAGGTTTCCAAACTCGGATTTAGGCTTCGAAAGGGGGGAACCTTTTCGGCCCTGCAGGGTGGCGGATGATCAGCAGCTTGGCTGGTTTTGGGCCGAAAGATGTTGCATTTCGTGGTTTGAGGGTTGAAAAGATCAGGGGTATGGGGATGTATGGGGTTTCGGAGGTCAGAGTCAAGAGGTACGACTGGAAGGCTGTGGGCCTTGTGATTCAAGTCCCTGAGCGTGAAGGGCCCAGCGCTGCAGGGTTACAGGGTCGGTGGGCTTGCGGTTATTTAGGTCTTCAGGATTCTGGGTTGAAGAATGCCGGCTTGTAGGCCTGTTCCCTGAGGATCGTCGTCGTCGCCGTAACCGAAGCCGCAACCGAAGCCTCCCCGTCGTAGTCGTCATCGTAGTCGTAGTCGTAATAGTTGTCGAGTAAATGTCGGTAATTTTCGGAGTAGTGTAGCAGTGGTAGTAGTCTTCGAGTGGTTGAGTGGGAGTTGGATCACGTGTAGGAAGCAGGCAGTGCAGTTGCAATAGGACAGGCCTTCAGGAGAGGACTTTGTGATTGCGGCCCTGTGCCCACACCGCTCGGACCACCCAAGCGTGCTTGCAACAAGCCAGGCTCTCGGCGACGCCGCAGAAGCCATCCGACTTGGCAAGCCACTTTGGTCAAGAGAGAAGTGGAGAACGGATCGTGGCTATTTGAGCTCTTGTCCGCTCGAGTGCCTGCCCTCTTTGTAGTGCGGGTAGTTGTCAAAATTATGGTCCCTTTTTGGGTCCTTATTATAGTACGGCACCTAATATTTGGGTACCCAAAAAGGGACCATAATTTTGACAACTACCCATGTGTTGTGCCTCCTTTGGTCAGCCTTGGGGATCCTTGCCGCTGCCTCGCTTTTGCTGTTGAGACTGATGTTTGTGATCCTTGTGCTGAGGTTTTGGCTGGAGTGAATCTCTCGGTCTGTCTATCTATCTATATATCTATCTATCTGTCTATATATATATATACACACCTTATCCCTCTTATCTGTGTTTTCTGTCTTGTTTGTCTTATCTATCTTATGTATCCATCTATCCATCTATGAATATATCTCTGCATCTCTCTTTCTCTCTCTATCTCGCTCTCTCTCTCTCTCTCTCTCTCTCTCTCGCTCTCTCTCTCTTTCTCTTTCTCTTCTTACATGGGCACGTGAATGCATAAGTGCATGTGCTGCTGCAATAAAATCGGCTCCCAGAAGCAGATGTGCATGTGAGTGTGTGTGTGTGTGTGTGTCTCTGTGTAGTTTCCACCCAGTCACCAACCAGCACGCGCCCATATGTGCTGCTCAGAATAGCACGAAGAGGCTGTGTAGGTCCTGCAGGTATTGGACATCATATTTGCTTTGCTAATCATAGGCGGATGGTCTTACTGGAAACCCAAGGCCCGAACAACCGACTGTGCCGAATCTGTTGGCGGTAGTGGCCTTCGCTCCTGACAAGAAAGCTAAAGCTCCACGAAGCGCAAGAAAGAGCTGGGCCCTGCAGGACAAGAAGAATTCCTCACCCACTGCAAGGCAGAAAAGGATGGGAACGGATCGACCACGCACAGAACATCAAGATGTGAATACCTAGTAAGTGTATCCCGTTTACTAGCAGACCGCCTGTAACTATTCTACAACATAATCCCCAAACCCCTATTCTGGGTTACTAAGGCCCCTACATGCCAGGCCCATCGAGCCGATGGTCGAAACAAACTGGTTCAGGAATCTACCATAATAGAGATCTATAGTAACTAATATGGTACTTTATTATGGTAACTTAAACTAAAGGAATCTACCATAATAGAGATCTATATACTATAGCAACTATTATGGTTCTTTATTATGGTAACTTAAACTAAATCCCTTAACGAGAACCCAACAAAGGCCTCGCCGGAGCAGGGCCGTCGCTACAGCAGAGGGCTCAGACGCTGCTTGATCAGGCGATGCGCAGCATGGAGCCGGGAAGAGCCTAAAATGAAAGAACGGGTAGGGTCTAAGTGTTTGCAGGGGTTAGGCTTAAGGTTTAGGGTTTGCTTCTCTGATTTGGGTTTTAGGGTATATTCGCCTGAATAATTTCTATGATTATTCCTTGGTTCGGTGTTTAGGGTCTGTTAGGGTTTAGGGATTAGGGTCTATAGGGGTTAGGATTAGGGTTTAGGGTTTGTTTCTCTGGTCTAGGGGCTTAGGGTTTCAGCGTAGAGCCTTTGTTGGACTATAGACTCAGGGTTTAGGGTCTGAGGTTTAGGTTCGAGGGGTTGTTGAAGACTCCATTTTTTATGATGGGTCTAAGTGGCTTAAACGGCTAGTTTTCGGATTGATGCTTTCTGTTCGGGGGTTCCGGGTTTGGAATCAAGATTTTCGGTTAAGGACCCAGAAAATATTGCTTACATGATGAGCTCGCGGCGCCCGGCTGATGAATTTGTATTCCAGAAGCTGCACGAATCGTTTTAGGCTGTGTGGATTCCCTACACCCTCTCACCCTAACTCGAACCGTAGACCCAAACCTTGACCGCAGACCCTTGCAGTAATCACAGTAAGACCCCAACCAAACCCGAAACTGCAAGCCCCGGATCTTCGCAGTAATATGGGGCTTCAAGAATTAGAAGAGGGTTTTGGGGTACATTGTACTATAACCATATGAAGGAACTCCCATAATAGTGTTGGGAAGTGTTAAGGCCCCTATATTAAGCCCTAACCGCTCCTTTGCCAAACCGAAACCATGCAAAATCAGTACTTCCTGACTACAGAGCCTCGGTCGACATGCACCCTGAGCCCCAAATATGCCAGGTACATGTGGGAGTGTCCGAAAAGGAGGGGTACCTTATTCCGGGGTCCTTGCAATATAGGCATTTGAGATGCATTTAGTGTGCAAGACGGATTGTGAGATGCATTTAGTGTACAAGAGGGGGTGGTCAGTAGGAGTCGTTGCATTCGACGTGCTAGGTTCACACCGTGAGCCATAACATCATGTAGTTAACCTGAAGCCTGCACCCGAAAGCCACATATTCGATCGCCCGGATAAGCCTACTTGTATTTCACTTTCACGTCTGCAACACCTTTTTCCTTCTTTCCTACACCCTAAACCCCCACAATACAAGTCCGAAGCACCAACTGATCCACACAGCCTCAAGAAGTACATGGTAGCCTGCGTTACTTCATATTACTTCAGTTCTTGAAGGCGGCAACTCACAAGGGGTGTCGGCCGCATTTTCTCTCAGGAGCTGCCGGGTTGCGGCAGGCAAAAGGTCTGAAATTGAATCGTTCGTATTATGATCAGCAGTATGTTTAACAAGGGTACGGGTGTTAAGTGTAGGGCTTTATCAGAGTAGGGATTTCGGATATATATGATTTAGATTATACAATTCTATCATAATCTCCGCTTAAGCCCAGCATTCCATCCGAATTATGGAGGCCTATCATGGAACCTGCTAACTACGGACCCTTGAAAAAGAACACCATTTAGCCCTTGAAGAGCCATTCAAAGACTCATTCTGCTTACGAAGGCCCCTTTGGTTTATTTTGACTACCCTAAACCCTAAACTCTGAAACCCTAAGCCCTAAACTCTGAAACCCTAAACTCTGAAACCCTGAAACCCTAAGACCCTAAAGCCCTAAGCCTTCAAGGCGGAGGGCTTCGGTCCATGTCTGGGAACTCTAAACTCTGAACCCTGGACCCGACACGTCCTACTTGGAGGCCCAGGGGACTTAGTAAGTAGGTTATAAGTAGGGTATATGAATGTACGTATAACGTATAACCCTACATATAACCTACTTACTAAGTCCCCTGGGCCTCTGAGTAGAGCCAACACCGTCAACCCTAAAAGAGGGGCGTCACCCACGACCACGTGCGAACGCACGGGGTGCTTTTTTGACCTCCTCAAGTTTTGAAGGCAAGCGCCAGCGCATGACGCAGTTTTTGAAGCCGGCTTTTCCGTTTGAGGTTTCCAATTTAGGGTTGACGCTATAGTTGTTAGGGCTTAAAGTTAAGTGTACCCCTCGCGGGGCCTACTGCGTAGCGTTTAGTCCAGGATTCAAGTGACGTGCGGTTTGGGATTTAGATGCCCGGTACAACGTTCCTTATATTAAGCTAAATGTAGCACATGAATTATGGTAATACTCATTTCCGTAGCAATCGGATTTTCTGAGACAGTAAACAGCAAGCAGGCAGAGTCCTTGTGGCTCAACTTCAAGCTCTGCGTCAAAGAAGAACTCGCGCCGGCCGAAACTTTAATTCGCAGCCCATCGTGGCTCTTGCATGGTCCCTCAGTCAGCCCAAAACCCTGAACCCCAGATCCTAAAGCCTAAACCCTAAACCCTATAAGCCCCAGGCCCAAACCCGAAAATCTGTAGAATCTCGTAGATGCGTCTCCAGGACGACGGAAAAAGAGCGCTTGGACTTGGTATGGAGCTTTCGTATCGTTGCCTTTTCAGCATCACCCTTCACTCACCTCCAGTAGGATCCATAGACCTCTTGATTGGGGAACGTGTCTACACTGATAGGCATGTTCGCCTTTCTGGTGGCTGGGTTGCTCTCTAAAGCCATGAAATGCCGGAGCAGAGGGGGTTGAAGGGTCCGATTTTTCTGGGCTCATACATCAGACTCGTGAGGAGTTTTGGGCCCGGACCGTTCTAAACCCGAGACCCAGACCCCAAATCCACTACCGTAACAGCCTCTTCTTTTGGGGTGAGGCCTTGGCCCCTTAAGTGAGATTTACAGATTGGGGTCTTTGGCAGACGGGAAAGAACCGTGGAGAGTGCAGCAACGGAAAGAATCGTTTCGGGCATAAGGTTCTCTTTCCAAACCCCAAAACCTCAACCCTAGACCCTAAACTCCAAACTCTACCTACATGACTAAACTTCAAGCCCGAGGCTTAAAACCGAGGACAGCAAATTCCAAACTCCTATACCCACAAGCTAAGCCCGAAACTTAAGCCTAAACTGTAAACACTCTAAACCCTAGGCCCTAAGCCCTAAATCCCCTCTCAAACCCGAGACTGCTGAAGTCTTTGTGATTTCGAGTCGTGCCCCCTTGAGAGGCATTGGACCCCGCAGCATGAGCTTCTCGGCTTGAAGGCTTCTGAGGTGGGTCTCGGATCTTAGGTTTAGGGTTTTGGAGGCTTGAGGTTGGGGGTAATAGGCATTCGGGAGTTCGAGGTGTGTGGGAGGGGTCCAGGGCTTGAGGGGTCGGCTCTCCTTGTTCGTCGTTCGGCGGGTTTGGGGTCTAGAGTTGCAAAGTGCTGTTTTCCATGCTTTCGGCCGAGGGCTATGGAGCCGAGCTCATCTTCAAGAGGACGCTTTCGCAAGTTACCAGCACGACTATCGATATGCTGATCTACAACCCATGGCACCGGACTTGGGCTGTTAAAAGGTATCCGCGACCCCGTGGATGGCTTATCAGTGACCATGCAGCTTCAAGTACTTGAACTCTTCGTGTTGCCGCCACGGCCCGATGTGTAGGATCCCAATACCGCAGCTCTCATGCAACCCTAAACCTTCAGATAATCCAAGGTCACCCTGAAGCCGAGGAAAGACTGAAGCCCTTGCAGAAGCCTAAAAGCCCTTCAAAGCAGTAAAACCCTAAACCATCAACTCTGAATCCGAAGCCTGACCGCAAAATCCTAACCCTACGCCCTGAAAAAAACAAAAGGCCTAAACTCCAATAGAGTTTCTATACAAGCCCAGACGCGCTAAAGCTGAGGAGAGGCGCACAAGGACTCCATTCCCGAGGCTTGGACCTTCGTCGAGGCCCTTCTTTCGGGCAGGGCTTCGGGATTCGGTTTTTCTGTGTTTAGGGTTTAGGGTTCAGGGTCTAGGGTTTAGGGTGTAGGGTTTAGGGGTTCCGCAAAGGGGCTCCTTTCAGGGCCTGGCGCGGCCATTGCTGCCCTACCGATTTCGCTGTGCCTTTTTTTCAGCCTTGATATTCTAGGAAGCTCCGACTTTGTGCGTCAGACACTGGAAGTTGCATTCATGAGGCCATCACAAAGAGAACTGATACGAATACTCTACCGAGGCCGGGTCGACTTTAATCTCGCCGTCAGGGTCCGAAACTCGCAGTGTGGACGCTAGGTATGATGTCTTGCTTTGTTTTCCACAAGGGGTCGACCGTGCCACAGTGCGGGAGTTGCAACGCATCTCCTATTGAAGGATATAGTGCTTATTTTCTTATCAAACATTTGTCACCTAGACAATAGACGCGAAAACAATTGCTGCACTGAGCCTACGTCGTCTAGGTGGCGTCCGCGTCGTCTGCCAAGACTTGGGAACAACAGGTACGTGAACTTGCCTGTCGGCAGCCCGTGCTCCCAGACAGCAAGCACATGAAAACACATGACTGCAAAACAAGCAGCATTGACTCAGATAAGCAACATCCATCCCCCCACCCGCCCAACGAGTAGCAAATTGAAGCTGAGAATGTAACTTGGGCAGCGGCATAAAGTCTTATTTGGGTAGGTCAACTGTGGCCGCATCTAGTTTAAGGGCGAATCTATAGGATTCCATAAAAGGGTTTCTTTTGAGGATACTATAGGGTTCTCTAAGAGGGTTCCCTCTAAGGGGAATCTGTAAGGGTTCTGCAATGGTTGCCTTGAGGGATACTCACGGATACGATACGGGGATCTTATAGCTTGCAGACTGTTTCTTTTTCAAGGGTTCCGTTTAAGGTTCCCCTTTAGGGGCCTATAGGGGTTTAGTACTACAGGGTATTTCGGAGGTTAGATTGGATTGGCCGTGATTTGTTTGGGTATCTTGAACCCGACATCCCAATTCTGACCACGGACCTTGAGCCCTGAACCGTACCCCTATACCTCTCTACCAGTTGTTTTCAATTTCGAGCTTGGGTTTACAACCTCAGTCACAGTCGGCTGAGGTGAAACACAAGACAAGTCTCAGATGGCTTTTGATAGGGCCGGTGATGCTGCCAGAGGTTGCTAGACCAAGATGTGCCGAATGCAATCGCTTATTAAGGCCAGTGTCC